AAAGTATATACAACATTAGGTAGTTGAATTACAAAATATTTTTTAGCCGTATGCATAAGTAATCGTCAATATTCTAACTCTTGTTCGATTATATTTTATTGATTATATTTTTATAAAAAAGAAAAAAGTTTTACAATATGTAATGGCAAATTTTTATTGGGTTTATCGGTTAAGTTGATGCTGATTTGATTTTAAATCTTAGTGCACAATTAATGTACTATTAATATTAGTTTCAGTACACGAGAAAGGTTTATGTAATACTATTTTATGGCTGTGTATTTAATTAGTGTTCGATTAATAACAGCTAGGCAAGTACAATATGTACAGTACATAAACGAAAAGAGATATTACTAACTGTAGTGTTATATATTTTGTCTATCGTTCATGATAATCGCACGTTTTCCTTGAACTCAGCCGTCATCGATTTATTTATAGAGAATCGAAATCTCGGTACGAATATAATAATTCATATTGTGATCATTTCGCAACTATATCTTATGCACTGTGTTTTTTTGATCGCCAGCTGCGTAATATAACGGGTTCTCATGTGTTCACCTACAAAATACAATAGACAGGTACGTTCATAGTAAATATTAAGTAAATGCATATTCATTGATATTCGGTAACGCTAGCGTAATCATGGTGGGGGGGGGGGTAATGACATCCACATCCCCATGACAAAGATAATATGGCGAAGATGTAACAGTTTTTGTTTAGAAGGGACGTGAACAATTTTTTTACGTATATCCCCCTAAGACGAAATTAATTACGCCACTGTTCTGTAATAATATACCTTTTTAAGTTTTACACAATATGCAAATATTGGGTTTATTTAATCAAACAATTGACGAGTGTGTATTATTTAATACGCTTATCTATTAAATAGAGATTTCATCAGAAGGGAAAAAATTACTGATATCACTGTTAAATTTATTTTTATTTATTCATTATATTTTTTTTCTTTGATACGCATCACGCCAGGACATCTTCATTATCCGTGTCCTACACCGCAATCGTCGCCAATATATTTTTCCGTGTGTGTATCGTGTGATAATCTTATTTCATGTTTATTTGTGAATTCGATTAATACATTAATCAGCGTTTGAATCGGATATGAGTTTATCGACATACTTCCGTATACTCTTTAAAGGCCACGCGTAGCTATTACGTTACATCGAGTACTCGTTTTGTCTGGTTAATCGATCGAACGTTGATAATTATCACCAACATACTGATTAATATACATTGAAAAATTGATACGAGAAAAAAAGCAAACTGTCACATGGAAGATGAACCATAAGCAGTGATAAAGTGTATGTCGATTAAAGAAAGCGCGTGCGAGTTTTATTGTATGTAAAAAAATTTAGTCTCTCGATTAGTATACGACGTCGATAAATATTGTTTGAAAGCATTTAATTAGGAAATCGTATTATTCACGTACATCATTATTATCTTTACCGTCATATTGGTCGGTGTCGTTGTTTAAGAACGCTGAGGTGACGGACGAGGTGCAATTGCAATAAGGAAATATGCCAGAGGGGTCATAGCGGCGATTTAACACTCTGCAAGACCTGAAGCGCTGTTAATTTCTATAGCACAAATCAACCGCACGATAAATATGCTCATCTATCATTTGTTCATTTTATTTTTTCGTCGTCACTTTTTTATTTGTTTGCTTCTCTCGCAGAACTGACGCTTATAGCAAATTAAAAATTCATAATTGATTGGCATTTATCATTTTATTTTTTCAAGTTTCTCTTCTACCAAACCATACATAGCTCTTGGAAAATAGTTTCTAAAAACTTTTCATGTACATTATTTAAAAGTTCTTTTTTTCGTAGACTCGCACAACCCATTACGACCTACCTCAATGTAACCACAAACATTAAAACCTGTTTGAATATAAGTGATTTTTTTTTTTACGAAATGTAAGCCAATTGAATATATTTTATTTTAGAACATTTTCTTGTTATAAAGTTTACACAAATTTCATTAAAATTATAGTGATCCAAAAATATTGCAATTTCTGTAAAAACTTAATAATATATAATTTTAGTAAAAAAAATTATCAATGTAAATTAATATGACTAACCTACAACAAGTGTTAAATTAACGATAAATATTTTATTAAGTCACATGAAACTGATAAATTGTTTTGCTAATTAGTGAGACCTCCTTCGTTCACTATCATAATTTTAAACAAATAATTGGCTTTAATTAGTTCTTATACAATACAAATCGCATTATAAAATATTTTTAATGCTATTAATTCATCGAAAATTATTCAAGTATTATACGATTACTTTTAATTCTTAGTTTACTTCAATCAAATTTGATCCATTTTTAATTTTAATTCTGAAATCATATGAGTAATAATTGTGTTAACGTTGTTACTATGTTTTAAATTGAAATAAAACTGCCTTAATTATATTGTGATATTGTAATTTTTTTAGTAAAAATCAATATATTTTATTTTAATTTCGCGATTATAATTTTTTAATGACAGATTAGAAATAATTCGATCGATTTACTTTAATTACTATGTTTTTTTTTTTATTGAATAATGGCGTTCTTTACTAATGACCACACTAGTTATTTATAATTTTTCTAGGTTAGCTTAACAAAAAATAGTCATATAACGTACAAACAGTTATAAGAAAGCAAACTTAGGACACGAGAGTGGCCGGTATTTATTTTTGACGCATCGCTCAAATGAAATAACACACAATTTGTCTTTATGTTCATTTAAGAGGTACCTCATGTTCTATTGGTACGCGTTTGTTCTATACATTGTACGTTTTTAAAACGACTGCTGTTACAAAATAATAGTTGGCTATAATTATTATTTTTACCGTAATTGTGGTCCAAATCTTCGAGTCTGCTTGTGAACGGTTTGGTTAACCTTGCGGTGAACAATTTTTTGTCTTCAACCGAGCAACTGTTATTGTGACCGTATATTGACGTTATGAATCGAGTTCATTAACAACGTCAAAATGTCAAGTAGGTATTGCTATGACGAATGCCAAAAATGCAACATGCTTACACCGCTACTTGCCGTGTGTAAAAAGTATCTGTGTCTACCGCGTTCTCCCGATATTCGTTGTGTGCCACGATGAGGCATTTTTTTAATAAAATGTTAAGATACTAAGTATGTTTTATGGCACTATCATTGTTATTACAGCCGTCGTTTAATCGTACAGTATATTATAACAAGAACACTCGACGCACGACATAAAAAACTTTAAGTAGGCACTACTGATAAAAATATGGATACCATTCGTGTAGAGAACCTCTCGCTGAAATTCAAACGACGGAATCATTATTTTGAAGGTCGACATGACTAATGTTTTATCGATTATCTCCAGTCTCGTGACGTTTCCAAAATGTATCTTAAAATATTAACACACACGCATACCATAGGGGGTAGACATCCGAGATCTATCGTTGGAAAAAAAAAATTGTTGAAAATCAATCGACTACGAGTAAATATTTTGACAGTTCTTCACTTTTTGAACGCATACAGCATTATTTACAATCATTAGTATTATTTCAAATGACTGAGTACCGGCGGACTTGGCTACAGGATGTTTTCGAATTACTAAGTTGTAATATGCTTCCTATATCGCCGCGTCAGTCGGTTATTGTCCACTTAACTTAATAACGGTCATTATTTCTATGGAAACATGTCACAAAGGTCACCCAAGCTGTCGCTCGCTAAACACTACTTGTATTACCCACTGCGATTGCGAAATTCGCGCATCTGGAGACGACAATCTCGGGTTTCTACCGCTTCCACAGCAAGGACGCCTGTCAATCATGCATTACGTTTATTCATGACGGGCTCGTGTATAAAAAACGTCTATCACATACACATATTCATGCATGACAATAATGTGAAATGTTTTAAATGCAATGGACCAACAAAGACGAACGAAATTATCTCGAACTTGCAATTGTAAGTCGTAATTGTTCTTCACGACCATATTTTATAAGCCGTCTTTTGCATATTATACATGTATATAAGTAATAACGATAATGATTTTTTATTTCATTAATACAACCGTATGAATACACACACACACACGCACACAAAAGCATGAGTTATCTGCAATCTGCTAGCAGTATATATCTACATCTATTCGTTTTTATTGTTATGCGCGTATAAGCAATTAGCGTTTATATGTGTATGTGGGTGGTAAACCGCGAGATGAATCATCACATAGTCAAAGTAATTAAACAACAAGCATAGTGCGCGTAGAACGAATCGAACATGTCTAATGTCCAGTCTAGGTACAACAACATTAAATATTTGCATTTTATGTTTGTACTTGATTGCAGTGTATGTTTAAATAAACACAGTATAAAATTACACGCTTAAAACTCAATGGAAATAAAAAAATAATAATAAATTTAAAACGTTGTTGGATCGCGTAAATAGAAAAGTACTTATACATTTTTATTTCTAGTCGAAGAAATTGATAAAAACGTTATCGGTAAAAATAATTATTTAATTGTATTTCGAACTCAATAAAAGTAATAGCATACTACAGGTCAGAAATGAAACATCAATGCAGACCGAGATGAGAAAATCTAAAATTATGTGTACTCCTCTCTAGTACCTTATCTTCTGTTTACTGAAATTTGATTTGTTTCTGAGAAATCAATCGTATTCCGAATTATTAAGATTAGTACACACATGAAATATTGTAATTTTGAACTACATAATACGTCAAACCGAAAAATTTCTGCGAAAAATAGGTTAGTCAGCCGCATACGTAAAACCGATGCTGATTAATAGACAACAATATAGTAATACGACGATATATCCACACACAGTTGATGTGTAATGGATGCCTTTAAAACACTTACTCAGTGCTGCGCAGCTGTTTGAGAATTTACTGTACGGGCAGTAAGCTACGAACGGTCCGGTAAAGATCACAAACGCGTTATGTTTTACCTCATACGCAGCATCGTGTAACACACGAACGATTGCTCTGGGCGACATTTGGATGTCTACATCCGGACATTCAAGCAGATTTCCTCAGTGATTTATCTATAACTTCGGGCGTGCACATACTGTATAACAATGTACCAGTTGTATTCGATATCTGACTCAACAATATAGGCGCGAAAAGACTTTAATAGACGGCACGCGTGGGCACCAGGCCGCATGAAATACCGAGGCTTCATAAAATTTGGCATGTTCGCACAGTGCTTTGGGTATAGTAATTGAAACCGTTAATTTATAACGAAATTTCGTGTTCATAACGATACGAATATAATGTTATATGGTTACAACATTAACAGGTTCGAAATGACCAACATTAACAGGAACAAAATATAACGAAACTAAAATTGTAAAAGTTTTCTTCCCGCGTGTAATGATTTACAATAGTTCAGGCAGGTCAAACGTTACGGCCCAATCGTTTCATCCAAATTATTATTGCTACTAATTAACGTTCAAATATACAGAACGGTTTTTTAATCAAGATGAGAGGTTCGACACTACAACATTTTTAATCAATTGTCTGTAATACATCTGTTATCCGCATTAAAATACAAAATGTTTGTCGAAAAACTTTCAGATTAATTTCGAAGTATAAATCTTTATTGCGAATACAAGTTAATGTTTTAAAGAGTTAAAAAGTAAATATTTGATGGAGATTGAAAAACTCGTCTTAAAAAGGTAGTTTTTTATTTTATACAAAACCATGTACAAGTTTTAATGAAACAGAATCTAGCGCTTGGAATAAAAAAAGGTAATAATAATATTATAATTAATTTAGAGTAGATCCAGTGTCACAACTATTAAGTGGGGCGAATATTGTGTGATAAGTCTATGTGTGAATGGTACCTCATCTTCCTCTCACCTTAGTTTTAAAGATTTAAGTCTTTCCCAATGTATGTCACAGAGTATAACCAAATTATTTCATGATAATTAAAACAATTTGTTAACTATAATGATCAAACCATGATAACAGTATTCTATGATATTTAATTAACACCGTGAATTTTATCATATCTATTTAAGACGTCATGAATAGTTGTTTATTTTTTTATCTCTGAACTCTATGTATAAAATTAATTCATAAAATAATCGTGAGAAATAAATCGCGTTTATTAACTGAGAACGAGACGAATGTTACACAAACATATTTTATTATTATTACAATTACTTTTGGTTTCAATGATTTATTGTTTGGAGTATTGGAATAACTGATTTTGAAAAATCAAAAAATTATGCAAAAGCGCGATTTTAAAGATTAATAATGCGTTCCCATTTATTTTGAATATAATTTTAATATAGAAATTATTTAATAATATTGTCATGTAAATTATTCAATAACAATTGACGATTATTTATTAATAATAAATTTATCAATTTAGGTATAATCGACCCACTTTTCGAAATAAATATATACATGTATACATAAACTTATCAGTAACTGTATAAGGCTTTGATGACCTGTAGTTGAAATTAGTCGTAACCCGAGATCTTATCGTGCATATAAACGTCACGTACTTAATTTTTTAATAAATACATTTGTTTGCCGTAAGGCCCGTGTTTAATCTCATCAATATTATTGACCGTTGTTTCAGCTTTCATATGCCATTAAGACAAACGCACCTAGTATATATTTATCTCCTACATATTCGATAGAGTGTCACAGTTGTTTGTATTGTTTTTTGAATATGTTACATTACAAATTATATCTCTTAAAATGTCGAAAGTGTTATCAGACCATGACAAAGACGCAAAACATTTAAAAATGGTATCATTTATCTTAGTTATCTTTCAAGTGTAAATTTTTATCGCTTCTAAAGTATCGACAGTTTATTTATTTTAAATAATAAAAGTATATAATTATTAAGAAAAATGTTCATCAGTTAAAATGAAAATAATGCATTTTTATTATTAGCATAGTCTTGTTTATCGAGTTATCCATTTAAATATTTTATGTACTATAGATGTCGATGATGTAATCGCTTAAACACTAATTAAATTACACTTGTAAGTTAATTTTGAATTTGATGAAACAGAAGTATGTACTTACAGCTGATGAGCATGAATTATTTTTGATCGAACCGGTATTTTGATCTCTTTTTGACATTTTAACAATAATAAAACAAGAATTCATGTTAAATATAACATGTTGAATACTAAAAGGTTTTGTATGGTCATGATTTTTTAGTATTTAAATGTGGACTTCAATCGATATCCAAAATTCATTAGGTATTTATAATTTAAGTTAAGTTTTAAATAAATTATTTTTTTTTTTAAATAACGCAACCGAATTTGTTAACTAAACCAATTCACGACAATAAATAGTATATACGATACACTGAAATAGTCGTTGTCTTGTACATTGGTTGGATAGCCTTGGCTAAAAATCGAGTGATATAAAAATCTATACAGAATAATTAACGCTGCGTAATCGATACATTGTAAAGCATATGTACGTTCGAGAATTAATGAAGTAAATAATTATTATTAACAGTCGAATTGAAGAGAAAACCATTCGACACTGTCAACTCTGTAATATTATTACTACTATAATATCATTGAAATAATACCGCAATGTCCGTTTCTCACGTACTCAACTGCTACAGTACTCAGTAAGATCAGATGCTTGCCGCCCAACAGATTGTGCCGATTCATCATTTTATACCTTTAACTTATTATCTTAGGGGAAACAGGCGCGTTCAATTCACTGCCCGTTCGTCTGTAAAAGGTATCTTAATAATAATTATAATAAATAATCAAACATAAAACTCGTTCGTAAATGAGTGACGACGCCGTTCTGGCTGCGGCAGATGTATTTATTTGGCAAATCACGAGCCAAACAGCTCGTATTAATTTCGCCTTTTAATTAACGCTTTGGGCCGCCGCTGGCAATCTATTATTTCATTTTGTTGTTAATTACCGCAATAGTTTTTAGAAAATGTCCGCTCGTTGTCTTCATTAGTAACTCGTTTTACGTTTTTTTCTTTACTGCGTTTGCTTGAACTGATGAGTTTAATGGATTCTGGTCGCTGTAACAACACTATTCCCTCTACAATGCACTTTTAGTGTGTAAACACCACCAATAGCTTTCTTTGGATCATATTTACATACATACACATCCGCCGGTCAATGCCTCCGTCGAAAAACCGTTTATTCTCAGTATATTATTATTATTATTATTATTAAAATAATTAATGTTGTTACCTATAAAACATTTATACATACTTGAAAAATATAAAGTCGAGTGCCTATTTTCTTCGCTTTCTGGAATTTATAGTATACACGTATAGCCAATATTTGTATACATTAAATAATTTAGTATAATAGACGAAATATGCTTTTTTATATATTGTATATTATTATAAGTTGTATTAAGTCTTGGCACAGAAAATCTCATATGAAATTATCTGGACTGAACGTGTGAAGCCTATAATGTTGTGGATTCATAAACAAGAAAAGCAAACCGTCTATATTGTGAGACCAACCGGTTTGTAATCAACCGAGAAGTCGATCTACATAATATTAAACATTTTTATTTAAGGGAAAATTATGAATTGCGAGGAGAGAACCGTATTAATATGTGCTACAACCACATTTGTTGCAGCCACTGTCTTAATTGTAATTCATGGATGCTTCTCGAATTCAGCAATTAGTTGTAGGCTTACATTATAAATAAATGCGTGACACCTCGACCGACGGGTTTTACGTTCATTATAATGTAGTGGTCAGGACATACGAGACAAGGGTATAGTCGTACACCTAGGCAGGCACATAACATGGTGTTAAATAGTTTATGAACCATATTTACTTTTCTCGAATGTATTCCGCTTGTATATACTCTCAACTCGTGTAGGCTGTCCGATAGTCCTCTATAAGTTATGTTACCGTTTTAAACTCACAGGACAACCGAAGTATCGCTTACTGTAAATTACTATGCTATTATAATGAGAGTAACGCTTATACATTGTATACATAGACTATTTTTGTCATTTTTAAACACCGGCCATTTTTCTCTTTGGCTGTAAATTAAAATAACGCGTCGAGTGATAGAATTTAATAAAAAAAACAAGAGAACATTACACGACAGTAAAAATATTTTTATAAAAATGAAAATTTATACTAAAAAGCACGATGTATTATTATTATTACTCAATGCCCTTCAAAAATTAAAGTTTTTAATTTTACTACTGACACTACAGTCGAGTACAGAATTTGTTTAGCGAACAGACTGCATGGCTATCGACGCGATGACGAAATTTGCTAGCCATTTGAAACTCAACACTTTGATCTATTTTGTTGACCTTGACGTATGCGCCCGTGCGAGTCATTTAATCGCGGTTGTTCGCAAACTAAGTATTTAGGGTCAAAATCATTGGACTCCCGTAGACGTTAGAGCACAAGTCAGAACATAACGAAATGTTAGAATAATATATTATTATTATTATTAAGTTACGTCATGAGTGACCCTTTGCTACAGTAACTGTCGCACGATACCAAATATTAATAATAATACATTAACGATTTTATGTATTACAATAAACCGATTGTCCGACCGACGGCTCTCCGCGGGTGGTGCAAGGTATTTCGAAAATTGAAAGTATTACGCATTTAACAAATATTTATCATTAAACCCTTCGCAAACGACCCAAAGACAACGCGTCATATGTACTGCGAATAGCCTACCAAGTTCATACACTTCAGTACCACCGCGACCGTATTGAACGCATAATATCTGAAGGCACATCGAAAACCGATACAGGACATTTAATGCTACCGGTGCCATAAAAACATCCCGACTAATGGATTAATGGCGCAACGTTACCCAGACACGGTAATGTCTCGTGTGCACCCCGAGGTGCGTAAGAGGTCGTCTTATCTGTACTGGCACAGTACTGGACGGTGCTCTACGCATTATATGTATATTTGATTTAGTCTAGGGAGTAGCGGGAGGTCTTATCCGTATAAACATTTTCCCTTTTTTCTCGTCTGTAACGTTTTTCACGAGTTATACACAGTGAATAATAATTCATAGTATTAAACTCGCACAGATACAACACATTCAAATGTTATACTTCTTGTCGACGATTCATCTTACGTCGACTATTGTTATGTTGCAAAGTTCATTCAGTACTAAACGTTTCTTGGTCTGTGTAAGAACCCAAGCGCTTGTGTTGATAAAGTGGTCCGGTTCGTAGACAACAGGCGACCACCAACGATGTGGTTTGCGAATTTTTTTCGGCCCGAGGGTAGTTGAGGACCGCGTGAAGGAGCAACGCGTTTTACGTTATTTCCCTACACACATCATAAGCCGACTTGTATATTTTACAATCCGCGGCTAGTAAACTGGTCCTTGACTAATTATAAACGAAAAATTACCGCGTCGCTAGAGGAAAACTCCTACCGGTCGTTGGTGTTTACGCGATTTCCATTGCTGCCAAGCTCTGCCCGCTTAAATCGAATCCGTACCGCCGAATTTACAAAACGTTCATAACTATCACAACAATATAGTTTTGTTCATTCATGTTGTCCACTCTGACTAGTCGTACCGGTCGTGATAAGACGTTAACCTGTGCACCACACACGTCTTACGATACATCCATTCGCTCACATTTATAGTATTCGTTCATTACGTGTAAAACGGTTCAACACGACTTTCGATTTAGAACTCAAAGTATCTGTTATTTAAACTATGTGTAATGCGGCCAACAGCGGTGTTATTTAAGAAAACAAAACATTCAGCGTTTAACAGGTAGT